AATCGCACGCCTGAAGAGTTATGGAGCGATATTCTCATCAGTCTCGGGTCACAAAAACTCGATGCAGTTACGCGAAAGGCATGGAATTTAAAGTTTGGTGAAGCTCGACATCCTCCGTCATACGATGACTTTAAAAAATTCTTGGATAACCGAATCCGAGCTCTCGAAAATTGGAAGCTCCCCCTTTCTTCCTCCGATAAAGCGAAAAATTCGAATGCGCAAAAGATTAGTGCTAACGTGTGCGCGAAATCGTTTCCGCCGTGTTCGTTGTGTAAAGCGAAGCATGCTTTCTACGTTTGTCCGAAATTTACCGAGAAGAGTCCGAATCAGAGGCGAGAACTTGTGCAGAAAGAGAAACGGTGTTTCAACTGTTTAAGTTCAAATCATGGGGCAAAAACGTGCTCCAGTAAATATTCATGCCGTCTTTGTCAGAGAAAACATCACACGTTGCTCCATGTAGATTCCGACTCTTCCTCGAAACCCGCAGAGGTCACGGCGTCAACCGACACGCCGAAACAAAGTGAAACGCCCAGTAGCGAAGTAAGCTCATTGTTTGCGTCTTCGCACACCACTCGTTCGCATGTTTTGCTCGCGACAGCTCGGCTTACCGTTAGCGCGTCTTCGGGCCGTTCTGTGATTGTAAGAGCCTTGCTTGATCAAGGCTCCGAAATGACCTTTATAACCGAAAACCTCGCGCAGTGTTTACGGCTGAAGAGAATTCGAATGCCAACTTCGGTTTCGGCCGTCGGGTGTGTAACTGCCGGGACGTATCGATATGCCGCGCGAATAACGATCTCGCCGAAAGGTAAACAGACTCCGGCATTCTCGACGACCGCATTAATTTTGAAATCGCTAACGGCATACGCGCCAAAACGTTTGCCGCTCAAGGCGACGTTGGCTCATCTCGAGGATCTCCCATGGGCTGACCACGACCCCATGAGCGCAGATCCCATTAGCATTATAGTGGGCGCGGAATTGTATAGCGCTCTCATTAAAGACGGAATTCGAAAAGGGGCGGTGGGACAGCCTATCGCTCAAAATTCGATATTGGGATGGGTAATATCGGGACCTATCACTTCTAGTCAGGTGGCCTCACATGCCATCTCGGTTGACTCGTCACACGATCGACCTTCGTATACTGTGAATGCTCATCACAGTCTCAATTCCTTGTCGCTCGATCAGGAACTCCGACGGTTTTGGGAGGTCGAAGAGATTCCGCGAAAGATGACTCTCACTCCCGAGGACGAAAAATGCGAAGAGCATTTTCGCCTCACTCATTCGCGCTGTCCTGACGGACGCTATATTGTACGTCTTCCATTTAAGGAAGGCCCTCCGATCGAAATCGGACCTTCTCGCGCTATCGCCGAGAAATATCTTAACGGGTTAATTCGGAGATTCGATGCTCATCCTGCGCAACGGGACGAGTATTCCGAATTTCTTCGCGAATATGAAGCTCTCGGGCACATGAGGGAAGTGCCCGCTTCCGACTCCAATGATACGCAATGCGTTTTCATTCCGCATCATCCCGTTATCCGGGAAGACAGTAAAACTACGCATCTGCGTGTCGTTTTCAACGCGTCATGTCCCTCTTCTAACGGATCATCATTAAATGATCATCTTCTCTCGGGTCCTAAACTTCAACCCGATTTGCCAGTTGTCATTCTCCAGTG